GCAGGCCTTGGGCATTGATGGGGGCATCGATGCGGGCATCGATGCCAAAAGTGTTGGCGTTTGGGCCAACCGGCCCAAACATAATTTTTTTTCTTTTTCTTTTGGGCTAGTGAATATGGGCCGAACTTATTATATTTAAATATATATTTTTTTCTTTTTAAAGCCCATGTTACTTATTCAAAGTTTGTTTTGTTTTGTTTTTTTAAGTGAAAGACAAACATGAGAAAATGTGTGTGTGTGTGTGTGTGTGTGTGTGTGTGTGTATATATATATATATATATACATATATATAATATATATATATATAGGGAGAGGTTCTAATAAAAACCTCCTTAGCCTAAAAACTAAAAACCAATATCATTCATTGGATCTAGATGAATCCAATGGCTGGGAGTCAGTCAAACAGTCAACAGAACATGCATTAATTACTTACATTAATTACCTCAACGAACACAAATCTGGATTCACTGCAGTGAAAAACATGTTCGTTGAGGTAATGAATCTAGATTCACTACAGTGAAAAACGTGTTCGTTGAGGTAATGAATCTGGATTCACTGCGTGAATCCAGATTCACTACAGTGAACCCAGATTCATGAAGTTAGTTAAACAAAAACCAAGGGATTAGATATTTGAGGTATATGGATTAGTATTTGAGTTCCAATGGTATTTTTGTCTACTATAATTTTTTTAAGCTCGTGCTTTTGAAAGTACTAGTTGGATTGCACGTGCAATGCACGTGGTAAATTTTTAAATTTATTAATTTAGTATTTATTCATTTCATTAAGATTTATTTAATTTAAACCATGTATCAACTATATGTATAGAATTTAAAAATTCAAACGGATTGATTAATAAAATTACATTTATGTATCAATTGTTTGATAAATAGATTGTTTGCATCCTTAACAATATAAAATAATAAATTATTTTATAAAAGATTTTTATTAGGTATACAATTGAGATTTAATCAACCAATACAAAACTATATACAGATGACAGTAGATGACCTATTTAATCATAATCATCCAATATAAAGATTAGTAAAATAGTAGCATCAATTTTTTTCCTTTAGTCCTACTTATTTCTATCTCCTCAAAAGAATTAATAGTCATACAACAAATAGTAGAGATAATAAATATTTCTATTTATTATTTGATATTTTGAGCTTTAAAAGTTTGAAATTAAAACAACAGTTCTATCATTGATAAAATCAATTGTAGACAAAACCAAAGGAGGAAAACCATGATATTATAACATAAAAGAATCAGATATGTCTTTACAGTTATTGATCAGCTTTAATTGATATTTTATGTAGAGTTATCTCAGATTGCGCTCCAAAAAGTTTTTTATTATAATCTTATCACAGGTTAAAAACAATGATACTATAACTGTAGGCAAAGAGTAGGCATTGCTCAGATCCAGGTAACAACTATTTCTCCATGCCTTTTCAATTTCCTTTATTTTGAATCAGGGTGCATTATAAAAGTCTGTATAACTGCTTGTTATACCATGGGATGCTATAGCAACTGCCAGAAGTAATAAACTGCAGAAGCAATCTCAAAGAATCGACTGGATCATCAATAGGGTACAGAAAGTATCAGTATATGCCTCAAATAAAATAGGTAGTCATGTCGAAGATTTATCTCCCTCGGAGTCCTTATTAGAAAAGACTATTCCCTCAATTGCTCTTGTTACAGTGGGTGAGGGTGCTTGGGCTGCTGGTGTAGTATTCAGCAGCCATGGTCTTATACTCACAAATGCTCATATTTTGGAACCATGGATATTTGGAAAAACATCTCTGCTAGGTTCAATGGACAAATATGCAGCCGCATCTTGTCATGAAAATTCTTTAGATTCTGTGACAAATGAGCATGAAGCATCATTCTTGAATTCAAATTATAGAAGCTATAGTAAAATATCAGTTTGCTTGTGTTTGCATTTTAATTATAAATACACATGAGAATAACTTTTGCAATCTGATTTCACTTAGATCAAGGAATATAATGATTTATCTAATAGCAACGAATTAACCATAACCATGTCTCAACTTCAACTTAACATGCTAGTTCTCATGGTTTTCAAACTCTACTATGTTTCATCTCTTATGTCGTAATACAAAATCTAGCATGTCAGTGATAGTGCAGACATCTTGCTCCAATTGCTTGATGTATGGATTGTTAAAGTTGTTCAAACCCATTAATATAATTTTCGATGAGTTAATTGCAAAGATAAAAAAGTATATATTCTAAATCATTTGTTAGTACAAATTTAGAGACTAATGGATATCAAACATCAGTTGCATCCCATGGCAATTTTTTATTTATAGAAAATAGGAAGAGCACTTAGCTTCCCCTATAGAATCATCTTGAGAGTAGTCCAAACACAGATACTGCACCGAGTGATAGTCGAGGCCTGTAATATCCTTGTCAAGAGAATTTACGGCATAATGTTGTAATAAATTTCTAAAAAAAAGTTGCACCTAAAAAAACAACCGAAGCAGTTGTTTCTTTAAAGCTTCAAGATAGCAAGGAGACAATATCACACTCTGATCAAAATGAAGGAATCGAAGAACAATTGAATCACGCGGAACATTCAACAAGAAATTCTGAACAATCTGGTGGCATGTCCACCTTCTACCAATATTTTCTTCTACTGAGTAATGGGTTGATTCATAACATGAACAATGTTTGCAATGTAATACTTCTCAACCTCCTCCTTAAGCATTTTATTGCTATATTTAAAACCTGAAAACCTTAAAGCTCCATCTTTCAGCAGAATCTTGAGTTTATCATGAAAGGTATCCATATACCTCAAATCACAAACCCTGATCCCATTATGGATAGTCTTACTTGAATAGCAAGGCCCGATTCCTCTTTTGGTAGTCCATATGAAGAAGTTTGCAAGTTTAGCGTCTCATAGCCCATCTACATACCTGATACTGGAATAAGATTTGCATATTTTGTTTAGCGTCTCATAGCCCATCTACATACCTGATACTGGAATAAGATTTGCATATTTTGTCCTGTAATAAAAACATTAAAATCAAAATAATCACGGTCTATGATACTGGAATAAGATTTGCATATTTTGTCCTGTAATAAAAACATTAAAATCAAAATAATCACGGTCTATGGATTCTTTACCCACTTAAATATTTATACCTTTTCTACGGATCATATGACATTCTGCGGCCAAAGAGAGCATCCTCAGTCTCAGTCTGTTTCTGTGCAGCAGTCCTCTACTTGTGCCTTGCATCTTTTGCAGTTGTATCAGCTCTCACTTTCTCCATCATTTTACTGAAACCAGGAATTGTCCTATCTAACTTGTACGCTCTATAGCTCAGGTTGTGAATGATTCAAAACATCCTCTGCATAAACAATTTGTATTTACTGTTAGTAGTTAATTTGCTTTATGAGAAGAAATCTAATAATATCAATGCCATTTAACGATTGCAAAGTGTAATTGAAATAACTTATCCTACAGAACAATGAGCATAAGTTAATAGCTGAGAGCTTAATCACCTTCATGACCTTAAGGCAAGAGGAATCTCGACTTGTAGCAAGGCAAGCGAGGATAATCAATCCAGAAATCACAGTAGAGGGCCAGAAGCAAAATCTTTCATGGTCGAGAAGTGAGAGGACAACTAAGTACCTCCACATCGGCATCCATATTTGTTGCTTTTAGATAGAACCTGCAACAGTGTTGCATCTCGATACCTACTTTCTTATAGCTCCCTCGATTTATAAAACAAAGGGGGAAATTGTTTTACCACAAGAAATTGTACGTTGTGGGCAGCATGCACTTGAAATTGAGAACTTATAGTACCAGCCATTCCATTGCAACTACTTCAGATCGAGCATTGACATTGTCTCAGCGAAGCATTTTAAGTTCATCAAATACACACAACTATTTGCTTGATGCTCCGAGAAATAGAAGAGTGATTCAGAGTCCCTTTACAAGTGTATCAAGCTTCTAACACTATTAAGAAATAAATCAACAACCATATAGACCATCAACAAGATGGCAGTCATGACATGGCCTAAAAATAGTGCCTTTGAAAAGTGAAACTATACAAAAATATAAACTACTTTACTGGTAAGGTTTGTCCTATTGATGTAAACCTTCATTGTTCTTTAACTATGGCAAGCGGCTATTAGTACAGGGCCTATATATTTTTTATGCGTATTACTTTTAGTGAAGATCTTCTCATGCTGTCATACATTAACATGAAGTAAATAAGTTTAGTTTTTTATAAGTAGATATCTGATTGTACCCAAATACTTATACTAATCTATTCCTTAAGGAGTCGTGAAATTCAATAGGTTAATCTCCAATTTAAAGATAAGATGAATTTGCTTAAATATTCGAATCCTGAGAAAGCAAGTGGAATTCCATAAAAGTCCTAAACAATATTGACAAAGGACATATGTTGTAAGCAACCAAAAAACCTATGAGAAGGCAAACTGTCTAGGACAACCAATTCTAGAACTAATAATAGCAAAGTTGAGGGTAACCAATAAAAAGGGCTTTGACTTTGTTAGAGAACAAGTCTATAAAGTATGTGCATATAGAAGAATAAAATTTGATCAACACCATTTTTCTATGAATTTTAAAGTAAACACATAATTTTTGCCAGATGGAAATCTCTCTAAATCACACAGCCACCAAAACCCAACATATTCACTTTCTTCTATTATGCACAAGTTAAAATCTCTTAGCAAAATCAATCACCATAACTTCTATGAAATTGTGAAATATTAGCATAGCAATTACCAATTATATGGACAAACTAAACTAATACACTTTGTCTTAAATTTATACAAAATAAACTTCAGTTTACGCAAAAGTAAGCAAATCTCTCATAATTCTGAAGTATAAAACAATTGAATTGTAAAGTTCATTATAACATCAAATAGGTAACCACATCAAATCATAATGAGACATAAATGTAAACAAGAAAATTTCAGTAAATTAAGTCTCACCATTGACTGATCCACCACTGAATTCGTCAGCGATACCACTCCTGCGAGTGTTTGATGTGCTATCCTTACAACACATCAAACATGAAGGACAATCAGTGTGGCCAAGCACCATTGCAGCTGCACTCAGAAGATTATTAACCATTTAAATTGCAACATTCATCAAAAGGAGAAACAGCTATACATAAAGCATTTAGTACAAAATTATTTCCCACAGAACTCTAAAATTGATGAGTACCAGCAGCATAAGTACTTGATTCAGCACCACTTGAATCATATCGCCATCTTCCATCACTTTGACTGAGTGCCTGATAAACCAATAAATTGCAATGACAACTTCTTCATCAAAAGGAAAGCTAGGAAAAAAAATTAAGAGAAATTACAAGGGGAGTTTGCAGGTTTATCATCTTAATAGAATGAAACACGCTATCTGCATCTGATAATATCACATCAAAACCTTGATTTTGCATCAGGGAAGTGAATAAATGTTGAGCTTCAGATAAGGAATGGAACAAGTTACAGATGAAAGAAGATTGTATTCAATTTTTGCAATACTCAAGAAGAGAATGAAGTCAGATGTTATTCAACTCTACCTTGATATGAACCAAGCTTCCGACGGTGTAATAGAAATCTAATAATGATTCTACCGTTTTTACACCACCTTGAAGTTTCGAACAGTTCTCTACATGGGTGCTTTAAGATCAACATCAAATATTGTAAATGTTCCCCCTTTCATAAGCTTATAAAGTTACCTCAATGGTTTTGACATCAATCTGACATTTCAGAATGCTATTTACTCAAAGTGCATAAAACAACTCCTTTGATGCAGATGACAATGAGCCGAGTATCTCCCCAATAATTGGGCAAGTTACTGGGCTAATATCAGCAACTTTTTCGAGTCCAAGCATCATCAAAAGAGGACTCATAGACCAAAAAATTTATCATGCACCCATTCCAATATAAACATCATGCATGCATGCAACCACATAGTGTGCTTTTGTTTCGTAAAGATTGAAATTTTCAGATATGCAAAATTCTTAGAATGCCCGAAAATAAAAAAAATAAGGTTTAAAGATGGAAATTTTTAGATATGCAAAATTCTTAGAACGTGCAAAATTTCAGATAAACAAAATTCTTAGAAGATGGAAATTTTCAGATATACAAAATTCTTAGAATGCCCGAAAATAAAATGTAAATGGACACAATCTCTATCTTTATAAATGTATATCAATAAGAAAAAATTATGACCTTGCAAGAGACTAAATAGATGCAGTAAATCTGTAATCTTGTATTACAATGCTGAAAATAATGTATACAGTTCCGAAAACTTGAAACTTTGATTTGTAAAGGACAAAAATAAGCAGGAATTTTTTTGTTAATTGAACCATTTAGTATAACATGTACGATTATCAACAAAAAAAATTGTGAGTTTCAGAAAATTTTTGAAATTCTCAAAATAACATGATATGACAACTTTCATATAACAGAATGTGGAAAATCTTCAAGACTCGCTTCATTCTTAAGAACATTGAGAAGATTTTATGTCGCACTAAACTAATGATTTAAGTAAACATTGAGAAGACATCAAAGGTAGTGAATTTTTCTGCAACTGCAAGCTGCCAGCGCATAGAAATATGTAATAGCAGTCGCAAGCTACAGGTATAGAAGCAGTAACCATAGTAGGCAGCACAAGCCCCAATGTTTTGGTATAAGTTATGAGCTTCAACCGCGAAATGTTTTTGGTATTTGCTCCCTTATCTGCTCTCAACCTATGTTTCATCTATCTATTATTTCGATATGTAACTGCTCCTTGTGGAATCATGTCCCGGTTCAATTGAACAGGCTGAAGGGTCATAAATGTCCGTATCAAATTAAGATATAGAGACAAACTAATATGTTAGATCATTCGGGTCGGTTGTCAGACATCTAAAGAAGCTAGATCATCATCAAGCGTAAAAGTCAAAAACCTCAGTCTGATCATGCTACATATGTTGCAAGAAAAACATGTAGAACTACATCTACAAATATGCTCATAGAGATGGGTTCTTAGAAATGGAAAACCAAGCAATCTTAGCATGTTACCATAGATTGCAATCATGAACTTCAGTCGTTTCACTTTAATAGGACCAGCAAACGGAACATGGTAATATCTCCAAACTGATACTATAACTGTTGGATTGTTGGATGATCAGTAAAGTTAAGCTAGTCATAAATAGATGGAACTTCCAATCCTATACAACAAGCCAGCCGAGGGACATATAACTTACCAAAGCATCAACATAACAAAGCCCACCCTTTAGCAGAATATAGGTGAGAAACTAACTAAACATGATTCGCACTTCTAATTCTAATAAGCAAACATACACGCTTATAGTTCATCAATACATATCATCTGCTAAAGACGTCGGTGCTAAATGCTAATGACCATAAATCACACAAGCACAACCTAGAAGATAAATATGAAATATCAGCCATTTATGGTACGATTCGCAGTGTAGTGTCGGCATATGGTGCACTACTTTGAATTGTAAACAGTACAAAGGGGGTAGACTAAATCAGATCGATATTTGGGATCATGATACATTAAAAACCATTACACGAATCATTTCAAAATCATGAATGTATTATTTGCAGACTTGATAGACACCCAGCTAGGCATTTGGGTGTCTGGGCGGCCGCTAAGGCACTACGCTACCTGTTTAAGACGCTTATTGTAGGGTAGTTACAACTTGCATGATGTCACTGAAAGATTTTCAGAGCATTAACAACGATACAAGACACGTAGAGTGAAAAGATTGTTTGACATGCACAAGAAAAAGCTTGTTCATGCTTGCAAATTAATCACTACTTGATTAGGTCCAAGTTAACCAGCACTTGGTGATTTTGTGAATGAGATATCATAAGTTATTTTAGCTTAAAGGCTGTATATTTGGGGCATGGTGGTGCTTGTAGTCAGACTTCAAAGGTGCCTCAAATCTCTAAATCATCTTATTTTAGATCTGTGGACACAAACACAACTCAATCTCTCCTGATAGATTGTCTTCATGGATTATTTCAATCTTTCACCTCACGGCTTTTGACAGGTTAGTTTGAGTATCGCGCATAGGATGCGGGGTGCTGTTTTTTTATGCGAGAAAGAAATAAATCACAAAGACCTTGATGTTTGGTACTTTCACAACATTGTACTCAATGTTTGGTGCTTTCCCTTCTTGTATCCATGATGTCTGTTTATGAGTAATTACTGTTTCTAAGCATTCTGCGGTTTTTTTATTCTAGCAGATATAAATTAACAGAGAAAAAAAGTCACATCAAATTCCAGATACAGTGAAACTCGCTGAGAAAAAAACTACTGATAGTTAAGCAAATTTATGAATCATATAGATCGCAAGAAATCTTGATTAAAAAAACATTCTTAAAAATAGCAATTTCAAACTCCAAAATACAAGCTTTCTAAACTTGGAGATACTGTCAAGTGTCATTAAGGAAGAACAACATTGGCACCCAATTTCCTCTACAGGAAAAAAAATAATAGGTCAAACTAAGAAAATTCACCACATACGCATCTCTAACATCACAAAGCCACAACTTTCATCAATTATAAGCAAACTCAAAGGCTACTAATAAAAAAAAATCTCAAGGAGGTTCCAATTAATCATTCAAACAAGAGAAGCCTAAAACAACAAAATATTACAGAGAAAACGGATTGCACTTGGAGAATTGTTTCCATAAGTTAAACCCTTTGCATTAATTTAATAATCAACCTTCAAATCTCTAACACTCCCAGTTCCTAAAATAATCACAGAAAAATTAAAAATAAAAAGAGAATTTTTACCTGATGAAATTTACACAGGATCAATTAGAACTCTTGAAGCAAGCCCTAAATCCGAAAACAATTGACATATTGATGAATTAGAACAAAAATTAGATGTTTTGGAGCCAGGCACAGTAACATAATTGAATTAAAAAAAATTAACAAAATAAAAAACCGCAATTTTTACCTTGAATGAACATTGAACCCAGGGATCAGTTTTAGAACCACTTGAAGGCAAGCCCTAAATCGGAAAAAAGTTGACCTATGTGTCTTGAACTTAGAGCAAAAATTAGATGCATGGGCGAATTACAGAAAACACAATTCAATGACAATGCTTGCAAAGTTAATCACTGATTCATGGCATAGTCATACAGTTATTTTGGCTCTAAAGGCTGTAAGTATCTTGGGGCCAGCGGGTGGTGACTTGAGTTCCAGATTCAAAGTGCCTCAAATGTCTAATCATCTTTTTTTAGAAACCTGTGGAGCATAACACAAACCACAACCAATCTCTTACTGATCTAGATTTGTCTTCATGAATTAATTTTCATCTTTCCACCTCTATTCACGGTTTTGACAGGTTAGTTTTGAGGTATCGCACGCCCGTAGGTTGCGGGGCGTGCCGAATTTTTTTTTTATGCGAGATCAATAAAATAAATCCAACAAAGACCTTGATGCTTTCTAAAACTTTCACAACCATTATGACTACAACATGTTTGGTGCTTATTTCTTTCTTGGTAATACCCCCCTGCAAATGTCTGCTCGTGTAATGAATAGATTACTGTTTCTACAGCATTCTAGCGGATTTTTTTTATTTGAAAGCAGATATAAATTGACAGAGAAAAAAAAGTCGCATCAACATTTCAGAATACAAGTTGAAAATAGAAAAAGAGAAATTGACCAAAATTAAAAAATAAAAAAAAGAGATTTTTACCCTGATGAAATTGACACAGACAAGTTAGCAACGACCTAAAAAAGCAAGCCTAAGAAATCGGAGAAAGAATATGACCCTAGTTGTTGAGAATTTTAGGAACAAAAAATTAGAGATGGCGAATTAGAAAACAAATTCAATGGAAATTATTCCTTTAAAATTAAACCAAACAATGACAGGCAAAGATCTTAACCAATTTCCCAAAAAACTTTGAAGAACAGAGGATAGTGGTGAAGCGTTGATGATGACGGAGGGAAAGCTATATATATCTATATATAACTGAGAAATTCACCTTTCAAAGCCTGGGTTGAGGTTAATCCGGATAGAATCGGAAGGAACTGGAACGTAACCGGATGAAATGAAAATGGATGAGGAGAGTAACCGATGGAATATGAAAGAGAGGAATTGAGGTGTAAGCCGATGAAAGGGATAAAAAATTTGAGTATATATGAACTCAGGATATGTTTTGGTAAAATTTAATTTTGATGGAAGGCCAAATTTATTGGGAGAGAAAAGTTTTTTTTATGAACTCCCCTCTTTTAAGGGGTATATATATAATATATATATTATATATATATATATATATTATATTATAATATTATATCATATATATATATATAATATAACATATATATTATATATATATATATTATAATAATATACTATAATATATAATATATATCAATAGTAATTTATGTTTCTTATTTACAAATAATATGGTTCATGGAGAACTAACACCTCCTCTCCGAGTGTAGAAAATTCTATAAATGGTTTTAGACGTTGACCATTTATTTTAAAAATATCACCATTTTTAGGATTTTCTATCTCGATAGCCCCATGCGAGAGAACTTGTTTGAAATTAAATGGACCTGTCCATCTTGATCTCAATTTTCTAGGAAAAAGATACAAATTTGAATTGTAGAGTAAAACTTTTTATCCCGGAGAGAAAAATTTTCGTAAAATTGTTTTGTCATGAAAAATCTTGGTTTGCTATTTGTAAATTTTTGAGTTAATATATGCATCGTTTTGAATTTCTTCCAAATCATTTATTTGGAGCAATCTATTTTTACCTGCCGAGTCTAAGTCAAAATTCAACTATTTGATAGCCCACATTGCTCGGTATTCCAACTCTACTGGTAGATGACAAGCTTTTCCAAACACGAGCCTGTATGGTGACATCCCCAAATTTGCCTTGAATGCTGTCCGATATGCCCACAGAGCATCACACAATTTTACAGACCAATCTTTCCTGTTATGATTAATTGTTTTTCTAAGATTTATTTGATCTGCCTATTTGTGACCTCTAATTAACCACTGGTTTGGGGGTGATAAGGAGTTGATAATTTGTGTATGATCGAATATTTCCTCATCAAAACCTCAAAAGAATGGTTATAAAAATGTGTACCGTTGTCGCTAATGATCGCTCGGGGCACTCCAAAACGTGCAAAAACATTCTCCTTCAGAAACTTGACAACAACCTTGTTGTTATTAGTTTTGCAAGCTACCGCCTCAACCCATTTTGACATGTATTCGACGACTACTAGAATGTAAATATTTCCAAAGGAATTTGAAAATGGAACCATGAAATCGATACCCCACAAATCAAAGAGTTCAACATATAAGATGGATTGTAAGGGCATCATATTTCTTCTAGTGACTTTTCCTAAAAGCTGACAGTGGTTACATATTTTGCAAAACTTGTATGAATTCTTGAAAAGAGTGGGCCAGTATAGCTCACATTGGAGAATTTTTTCAGCTGTTTTTCATGGGCCAAAATGGCCCCACATGCTTGCTCATGACAAAAGGATAGAACACTCCTAGTTTCTTCAGCGGGAACACACCTCCTAAAGATCTGATCAGGACAGTATTTGAAATATATATGTATCATCCCAGTAAAAGTATTTTACCTGGGAGAGGAAACGAGATCTATCCTGTTTAGACCAATAAGAGGGAATCTGTTTCATGACTAAGTAATTCACAATGTCGGCAAACCATGGAACAAATTAGATTTGTAGGAGTTGTTCATCTGGAAAATGTTCGTTGATTGGGACAGTTGATGTTGGTGCATTCGGGAGTCTAGAGAGGAGATCTGCTATAAGATTTTCTGCTCCTCTTCTGTCAAGAATTTGAATGTCAAACTCTTGAAGTAGGAGAATCCATCTAATGAGCTATGTTTTAGCATCCTTTTTGGTCAAAAGATACTTTAGTGCGGCATGATCTGTGAAAACTTTGGTTAAAGACCTGACGAGGTAGGACCTGAATTTTTCTAAGGCAAAAGACTATAGTTAAAAACTCTTTTTCCGTGACAGAGTAATTTTGATGGGGATCATTCAGAGTCCTACTTGCGTAGTAGATCACATACGAGTTTCCATTAAACTGTTGTCCTAAAACAACACCAATTGTAGAATCAGATGCATCACACATTAGTTCGAAGGGTAAGGTCCAGTCTGGTACATGAATGATAGGAGCTGTGGTTAGCTTTTTTTTAGAAATTCAAAGGCTTTGAGGCATTCAGGAGAGAAGACAAATGATGTATCCTTGGCTAAGAGATTGGTCAAAGGTCTAGCAATTTTGCTAAAATATTTGATGAAACGTCGGTAAAAACCAGCATGACCAAGAAATGATCTAACATCTTTGACAATTTTAGGAGGAGGAAGGTTAGAAATGAGATCTACCTTAGCTTTGTCTACTTCGATTCCCATGTTGGAAATTACATGTCCTAAGACAATGCCATGCTTGACCATGAAGTGATATTTCTCCTAATTGAGAGTCAGATTTTTCTCCCTACACCGTTCTAGGACAAGTTTAAGATGATGCAAACATTGGGAAAATTTGTCACTAAAAATGAAAAAGTCGTCCATGAAAATTTCTAAAAATCTCTCTATCATGTCAGAAAAAATACTGATCATGCAACATTAGAATGTGACAGGTGTGTTACACAACCCAAAAAAGCATGTGTCGATATGCGAATGTTCCATACGAACAAGTGAAGGTGGTTTTCTCCTGATCTTCAGAAGCGATAGGGATTTGATTGTATCCTGAATATCCATCCAGGAAATAATAAAACTCATGTCCTGCTAAGCACTCTAACATTTGGTCAATGAAGGGAAGAGGGAAATGATCTTTTCGAGTGCCTAAGTTGAGTTTTCTATAGTCAATGCAAACTCGCCATCCATTTTGGATCACGGTGATCCCAGATTTCTTTGGAAAAACTTGGAACAGACTCACCCATGAACTATCAGAAATGGGATAAATGATCCCATGATCGAGATATTTCAGAATATCTTTTCTAACAGCTTCTTTCATCATTGGGTTTAACCGACGTTGAGGATTTCTAGTAGGTTTGGCGTCATCTATCAAATGGATTCGGTGTTGAATAATGATTGGACTAATCCTTTTGATATCAGTCATGGTCCATCCAATGGCTTCCCTATTATCTTTTAAATGATCTAAGAGAGCTTCCTTTTGACCGGTAGTCAAGTCAAAAGAAATGATAACTGGTAAAGTCTCACTCTCCCCTAAGTAGGCATACTCTAGATTTTCAGGTAGAGGTTTGAGCTCTAACTTAGATGGGTAAAGTTGGACTCGGGGTTCTATCTCCAAAGGTTCTCGTTGCTAGCCAGTTGCAGATAGATGATTGACCAGTGGATCTAATCCTAATTCATCCTCAAAAGACTCTTCAAACACTAAGTCAGATACACAGGAATCCAACTCGCACTCTCCTTCTTGTTGCTCACTGGATATTCCACGAATGAAGTTCACTTCCATGGATTGATCAGATGGATTACTAGGCTACCTTCCTAGGTTTAAGGTATTAAGGTCAATAAAGTCAACAGTTATATTCCCAAAAGATAGTTTCATCTGACCGGTCCTACAATTGATCAAAGCATTTGAGGTGGCTAACAACGGTCTTCCTAGAATGACTGGGATTTGACTTTTAAGATTGGAAACGGGTTACGTTTCCAAGATAATAAAATCAACAGGAAAAATAAACTCTCCAATCTTGATCAAAACATCCTTTACCTCTCCTTTGGGAATTTTCACGGATCTATCAGCTAATTATAGAGTGTATTTGATCGGTTTAAGTTTTCCTACACCTAGCTATTGATAGACTGAATAAGGAAGGAG